AACTCCAGGACTTGGTGATGATGATTTTGACATTAAAATAATAGTAATAGGTCTCTCGTTTTTCCCTTGACACGCCGATGTCCTCCCATTCCATCCCACCCCGCCGCATCTCCAAACGCTAGAGATAGCAGTGGGCCGAGCTAGCGGACGCACACCTCCGTGCCGTGCCGGCAGGACATAGGGGCGGCCCTGTAGCTGACTAACACTGCTACTTAGACACGTTCTTACGCTCTAGGAGAATCACTTGAGAGAGAATTGCAGGACCTTCATTAAACCCTTGTCATTTTGTTGAGACCCATGCACATACCTATTTGGCAAAAAGTTTCAGACATCTCCTAATATATTTCTCTCTTGTGTCTGCTAACACAAAGACTACTTATTTAACAAAACACCACAGGGCATTAGACAGCCCAAATGCACAAAATCATTATAGTCCCTTGACCTCCAAAGCCCCCCCCCCCCCCGCCGCCCCGTTTTCTTTCCCAGCTTTTCAGTAACAATTAATGAATTAAGAACTAGAGCTACTGATAGATAGAACAGCATATTCAAATAAGAAAGAATCAGAATCAGGACATGCAAACCTATCGTCTTCGATCGTCAAGTTGTGCTGGCTGAAACAGCAGCCCACAGCAGTAGGCATACTGCAGAAATCCTGGGAATGGCTAACAAAGGAGTGCAGTTTGTAGCCAACTAATAGACTCATAGAGTGGGATAAAGGAAGGTCACTTACCTTTCCAGGGCGTGCCCCCAAATTAAACTCAGCAAGAATAGAAAGAAGTACATCTATGGATTTTAAAACCTGCATATTCAATATAAAATACTTTCTGAAGCTAACCTACCCTGCCAACCTAACTAAACAGGTCTTTTATTTATTTCCTTCTACCTGCCTCCCTCACATGGACTGTACTATTTGCCGAATAGCATTTCCATGTTTTCTAACTATGGGACAGAAAAACAATTGTCAGTCTTATACACCCAGAACAATCAACAAAACAAACCCTCATCCTAACCAGCAGCAAGCCCTAATTTATTTTGATTTTTTGTCGAAAGACACACAGCTGGGAACTTGACAATATGCTCGCATCCGATTGCTTGCTCGCTCACTCTCTCACACGCACACAAATGTGATGTGGAGCGAATGTGTGTGTACATATTGCTGTACCAGCTCTGCTTGAATCGACGTGAATACAAATTTCCCTACAGATGTTGCTGCTTCTTGCTCAATGAAGCCCCCGATAGATGTGTGTTTAACAAATCAATAGGTAAATCTCTATCAGATGATCAGGCTTGCAAATCAATAAGTTTTTGTTCGGTTAAATAAAATATGTCATTAACAGTAAAAAAAAAAAAAGGGGGGGGGGGGCAGGCAGGCGGGCAAAAGCTAGGGGGGGAAATCCCCTTCTTGCTCCGGAGACATGGTCTCGTCAGTTTGCTCTGCTGCCGTTTGAAGTTACTGCGCCCGTCGAAACCTACTCGGCTGAGCACTAAACTTTCGGGAGACTAAAGTGCCGTAAGAAGTCAACGAGGGATCCGAGGAATCATAAGGCAGCAGCCGGATGTAAGAAAGGTGGGAGGGGAGCTGTGCCTGCTGAGCTGCACCGTGGCTTCCCCTTTGCTTTCGTCCTGGCATTTTCCACCTACTTACCTCCTTCCTCCCGCTCAAAATAAGAAAGCCGCAGGGGGGGACATCGACACGTCGGCTTCACGCTGACCGCTGGGGCTCCGGCGGGAGCGCTTCTTCCGCACCGGGGAGCCGGTGCTGCCCCTTGATCTTGCCTCAGCGCCCCGAGGACTTTGCCTGTGAGATGCAGCACCTAGGGGAAAAAAGAGGGAGGAAAGGACTGGAGAGACCTCGAGATCGAGGAATCCGCCCAACTGTGGGTCCCACGCCACACTTCAGGCGTGCAGAGCCCCCTGTTTCGAGGCTACTGCCCAGAACACAAGTAGGCTGCCGGCTCCGATGGACACCGCCTTCCCTCCTTCCTGTCGTTGTTATTCATATAATTATTATTCCTAATGATACTAATAATTAATTTAAAACGTCTTTGCAAATGCAAACTGAAAGTAGGTGCTGAGGAGCAAGAGTAGCAGTTTTAAACAATAGATTAAGACACTAGAAAGTGTCTTCACAGGGAATGGAGACTTTTCACTTCGTCAAAAGTAGGCTTTGCACGACAAAAGCCCGCTCTAATAATTTGGTGGAGCCGCTTAAAAGGCTGTCTGCTTACCAACACAGTGACTCCGTCAGTTCCCGTATAAATACAATAACGCAGGGCCTCATGGTTAATTATGCAGGAAGGTTTATGAATTGTTTTCCCTCCCTCTTTCACAGACATACTTGCAGCACGCCTATGTCTACTTAGTCAGAAGTTTCAATATTGCAGACATATTTGTCTTGCCGATTTCTTTTGTAAAAGATTTATTTGTCGAATTGCATATTTTCCCAAAAGATTCATCGACACAGGAAAACGTGTTTGTATTTATATCTGCCGGAGATGATGCAGCTTAAAAATTCCTGAGTATACATCGTCTGAAATCAAATCCCCGCATTTGTATTTTTTACATATACCACAACTGGTTAGCAATTTGCACACCAGAGATGACATAGTTTTAAGCTTCCTTTCTTATGTAATGTAAATGATGGCAAAATATGATTTGCCATATAACTAGTCGGAGCAGAGTAAAGTAATATCCTAAAAACCAAAATATTTTAATGAGAGACCATGTTAATGGTATTGAAGTAAAATGAATAAGTAAGAATTAAATTATATTTTTAAAATGGATTGCACTAAAATAAACATGTCTTTGATGCTTTAGGATAAACAGCCTCCTCCCCCAAATATATTGTAAAAATCCTGTATTTTGTTTAGAAACATAAAGTTATCTTTAATGTTGTATCAATTTTTGGTGTTATATAAAATGATTAATAAAATAAATAGAAACAGTTGTGTCAAACTAAGTAGACAGTTGTTATTTAAATTATCAAAATAAAATCAATGTTTTCCATTCTACTGGGCATGGAAATATTTCTAATTTATTTATTTTCAAGATGCATTAAAACATGTAACTGATTTCCTTTCAAATCAGAATACTTAATATTAGAGCAATTGTCTGCATAATTCTTCTATAACATGGCATTACCTGAAACACATAAATACAAATACGCAAGTTCTGTAATTTGCATTTTGTTTTCTTATACTGTCTATAAACATTGCTACATGATTACATGTACTCACTTTCTTGTATGGACCATCCATTATGTGGTGTCTACATCTTTCAGAGTGTAATCACACTCAGGTTTGTTCTTCTTTAAAGCAGTTACTAGATATATGATAACAGAATCACAGAATCATCTAGGTTGGAAGAGACCTCAAAGATCACCTAGTCCAACCTCTGACCTAACACTAAGTCCTCCACTAAACCATATCACTAAGCTCTACATCTAAATGTCTTTTAAAGACCTCCAGGGATGGTGACTCAACCATACATAACGTCAACATACATATAACTTACACAAAAATTGCTTTCGACTTTCAAAAAACAACTTTGGGCAAGTGAGTTCTAGTGATATTAGGCAGGATTTGCTGTCAAGCTCTAATAATTCAAGCGGGAAAAATGTATTAAAAAGTATGGAATAATCACCAAATTGGTTCTAAAGCCATTGAAATCAGTGGAATTGATTTCCAAGAAGCAGGATTTGGCCCAGTTGATCAGGTTATAAGGGTTTATGGCTATTGGTATAAAAAATGTAGTTTTCAAGTCCATCTCTTGTTAAACTTACAGGCTTTATATATAAAGGTGAAGGCAAACTATTCAGTAGAGTTTTCACAGGAATTTAAGGAGAGAAAAATGCTGAATTTAAATTTGTTTACTCCTCAAATTCATTGGACTGTATAGCATCAACCTCTTGGCAATACTTTTTCTTCTGAATATTTTATACAATTTCTACTACTGGAAAAACAAATGGAGATTAAACAAATTAAATACTGTTTAATTATTCTGGCAATGTGTAATGCTTTAATGCCATTTCTATCTTTTCTTTATTGACTTTCTCTCCTTAGAACTCTCCCTGCAAATAATATACCTGAATTTGTGAGCAGAAAGTAGGCCACACTGAAAATAATCTGGCCAAACAGCGAAAGTACCAAACCCAGAATCACAGTCCTCAGTCAGTACATGCCTTGCCACAGGAACAACGTGTCTTCAGGACTCCCTATGGAAGCCACTGGAGAATTCAGCTTAAAGAAAAAAAAAAAAAAGACACAATTTTCCATCTCTTCATAAGACTAAACCACTTGAAGTACTTGAAGCATAAGATATATTGTTTAAGAATTAGTTATTTGAAAAAAATAAGAAAGACTTCAGCCCTGCAATTCATACTCACAAGAAATAGAATAGTCTCAAAAACCAAGATAGAAAGTTTAGCATGTTCTTCGGAGGTGTTTTTTTTTTTCTTTTTTCTTAAGTTTGAACGTGACATTATTATTAAAAAGGTATTTAAGTAATAAAATAAGATCTTTTGAGCATGTCTTGACTGTACATGTTTGATTTTCTTAAACTCTACAAAATTAAGTAAGTTAAGATTCTGTTGCCACTGATGTAAAATGCAAAATCCTATTGTTTTCCGTGATAGTAAGAAGGACACTTAAATTGCTTTTGTTTATACACAGACACAATTTGGATATCATCTGCATATCTCTCCAAGTCACACCTGAAAGCCAGGACTCTGATATGTGTACTGAGTCATGTGGGATCTCCACAGCAGAAAGGATGAAAGGATGTTATCTTTTTTTTTTTTTTTGTATGAACGAAGAAGTAATGAGCTTGACTAGCTTCAAAAATTAGCATGTTTTTCCAACTAAAATTGTATCAAAAAATTGATTCTAATAAAAAATGCAAGAAGAATCAAACGATTATTTCATGAGCTTCATCACTGTCTTATTTTAGCCGAGATTGTTATTCATATAGGAGGAAAACGAACAGTTATATGAAGTTAGTTATTTTTTTTTTTCCAGGGTGTACTGGAACATGCCTTTCCAGGCATGTATAAAGGGGATTGTTTTCCCCAAGTGGTGCAGAAACGACAGGATTAATTTTCAAAAGATAGCCTGCTGTTTTCCTACTTTTTTTTTCTTCCCTGTCCTGGTTTCAGTTAGAACAGAATTAATTTTCTTCCTAGTAGCTGGTGGAATGCTGTGTTTTGGCTTAGGATGAGAAGAGTGCTGATAACACCCCGATGTTTTAATTGTTGCAGAGCAGTGCTTATACCAAGCCAAGGACATCTCAGCTTCTTGCTCTGTCCTGCCAACGGGCAGGCTAGGGGTGCAGTAAGAGCTGGGAGGGGACAGACCCGGGACAGGTGACCCAAACTAGCCAAAGGGGTATTCCATACCATCTGACATCATGCTAAACAATATATAGGGGTGGCTAGCCGGGGGAGGGGGGCCGGACTGCTCGGGGTTAGGCTGGGCATCGGTCAGCGGGTGGTGAGCAATTGCATTGTGCATCACTTCTTTGTACACATTATTATTAGTAGTACTATTATCATCATTGTATTATTATAATTATTGTTATTGTTATTATTATTGTTATTTTCCTGTCTTATTAAACTGTCTTTATCTCAACTCACGGGCTTCACTTTCCATTTCTCTCCCCCGTCCCAGAGAGGGAGGGGGGAGGGTGAGCGAACGGCTGCGTGGTGTTTAGCTGCTGGCCGGGTTAAACCATGGCAGCCTTTTTGGCGCCCAACGTGGGGCTCGAAAGGTTGAGATAACGGCAGATCTGACCAGAGTGTGTTAAACTAAAATTGGTATAAGTATTAGACCTGCTTAATAGTCACTTGTAATAATGCTGATTGCTTTAATCTCAACTCTGCTGCGCCTGTTTTCCAAATTGAGTATTATAGCACATTATTTTCCGTATGTGCTCTCTGTCATGTTGTTTATCCTCTCCGGGCCCTGGTTTCAGACCATTATGGTACTGTGTGTTGTAACAGTGGCTTATGAGACAATGAAATATCTGGCCATGATTCTAACTTGTTATTTGTATTCAGTAACATCGTCGACTCTGTACTTTGGAAACCGTATCTTGGAAACTATTAGCAATTATACCTGTTGCCTTTTTTCATTAGGGAGTCAATCTGTGGAGGGGAAAGGGGAAGATATTTTTTCTTACTTGATCACTCTCCCTTTCTCCTTCACCACCCTCTTATCCTCCGAGCTTGTTACAATAGCTCTCCAAGATACTGAATATCCTTGGGATACTCAGACCAGCATAGTCTTGTTGTTATGCCTCCTGAATGTGCTTCAGGTTTTGCTTAAAGTTAAACAACTACTTAGGAAGTTCATCCAGAGATCTGCTCGGAGGCAGTATAGTTGTGGGTGGCAGGGAGTATGGGAGGATATGGGCAGGCATCTAGAGCAGTTGGCACCCCCAGTGTTTTGGAAATTCACCCCTGAACAACTGCAAAATCCTCAAAAACTGGCAGAATGCTTGAAAAAAAGGTGTCATGATTCTGGCAGTTCCAAAGTGACACAAATCATTGTAACGTGCTTGGGCCTGGCTCATGCCTATCGAGCTGCAATTGATACTGCTATCAACTTAGTGACAGACCCTGCGGCCACTCCAAGCCCTGTGACAGATCCAACGGCCACTGTGACCCCTATGGTGGACTCTGCAGTCGCTCCAGTTCCAGCTCCTGCAGCTGCTCCAGTTCCAGTTCCTGTAGCTGCTCCAGCTCCGGTTCCTGCAGCCGCTCCAGTTCCAGCTCCTGCAGCCGCTCCAGCTCATGCAGCCACTCCAGCTCCTGTGGCTGGGTCAGAGAAACGAGCTGTAGCAGTGCAGGTTGACCCTGCAGAGGGTATTCCAACCCCTGTGGCAGACCCTGTAATGGGGTCAGAGAAATGAGCTGTAGCAGTGCAAGTTGCCCCTGTAGAGAAGGTGAAAAAATGGTATAGAGATTCAGGTAGTTTAGAACACAGAGAGTCTTCTGCCAAATCTAGGTATAGAGACGACGACGATGCTGGGCCATCAGGGATTCAGGAGGAGGAAGATGAGGATGCCGAAAAATCAACAGTAACTACCCGAAACCTATACGAGCGTGAGCTACGAGATGTACGAAAAGATTTTGGTCGTTGTATAGGTGAGCAGCTTGTCACCTGGCTTCTCCAGTGCTGGGACTCTGGAGCCAATTGTGTGGAATTAGACGGCAGGGAAGCCAAGCGGCTGGGATCCCTTGCTAGAGACGCAGGCATTGACAAAGCAATTGCAGATGGAGCACAATCTCACAGCCTCTGGAGGCGTCTCCTCTCAGCTGTGAGGGAAAGGTATCCCTTCAAGGAAGAACTTTTATGTCTACCAGGCAAGTGGACCACTATGGAGAAAGGAATCCAGTACCTGAGGGAATTAGCCGTACGGGAAGTGATTTATGAGGATCCAGACCTTGGAAAAACATCCACAGATCCAGATGAAGTCAGGTGTACACGACCCATGTGGCGGAAGTTTGTACGGAGTGCACCATCATCATATGCCAGCTCATTGGCAATAATGGCCTGGAAAGAGGATGAGGAACCCACAGCGGATGAAGTGGCTAAACATTCCGGCAGTACAAAGAAAGTCTCTCCTCTTCCTTACAGGCCTGCATCTCAGCTGTGGAGAAACTTTCTGAAGAGTTCCACCAACTTAAAGAGAATCTATCTTCCTCCCCACCTGAACCAACCAGTGTCCAACAACCAAAAGAGAACACTTGGGAGAAACTTTCTGAAAAGGTTCACCAACTTGAAGAGAGATTATTCTCCTCCCCATCTGTACAAAGCAGTGTCTCAGCTATCAGGGGTAGGCGTTCATCCACACAAGGAAGACGATATGGTGGGTACTCACCCCGTGCCACCCTGCGATTTTATTTACGAGACCATGGAGAGGACATGAGAAAATGGGATGGAAAATCTACCGCGACCCTAGAGGCACGGGTACGTGAGTTGCAAAAGAAAACAATCGGAAAAAAGGGTTTCTCTGAAAAGTTTGATGCTCCGACTTCCAGCAGACAGTCCTTCAAACACAGAAACGAAGAAGATTCTGACCAGGATTAGGGGGGCCCTGCCTCCAGCCAGGGGGAGGAAAGGGACAATCGAGTTTATTGGACTGTGTGGATTCGATGGCCTGGCATGTCAGACACACAGAAGTATAAGGCTTTAGTAGACACCGGTGCACAATGTACTGTAATGCCATCGAGCTATAAAGGGCCAGAGCCCATCTGTATTTGTGGAGTGACAGGGGGATCTCACCAGTTGACTGTATTGGAGGCTGAAGTGAGTCTGACTGGGAATGAGTGGGAAAAGCACCGCATTGTGACTGGCCTGGATGCTCCATGTATCCTTGGCATAGACTATCTTAGAAGAGGATATTTCAAGGACCCAAAAGGGTTCCGGTGGGCCTTTGGTATAGCTGCCTTAAAGACAGAGGGCATTAAACAATTATCTACCTTGCCTGGTCTCTCAGAGGACCCCTCTGTTGTGGGGTTGCTGAGGGTCAAAGAACAGCAAGTGCCAATCGCTACCACAACTGTGCACCAGCGGCAATATCGCACCAATCGTGACTCCCTGATTCCCATCCATAAGCTAATTCGTCAATTGGAGAGCCAAGGAGTGATCAGCAAGACTCATTCACCTTTCAATAGTCTCATATGGCCAGTGCGAAAGTCTAATGGGGTGACACAGCAGAGGAAGTAGCCCTTGGGCCAGTTCGAACAGGACCAGATGTAAAGAATGTGCTCTACACTGCAGCCAGGGAGAATGGCCCCACCTGGAGCCTCTGGCAGAAAGAACCTGGGGAAACTTGAGGTCAGCCCCTGGGGTTTTGGAGTTGGGGATACAGAGGATCTGAGGCCCGCTATACTCCAACTGAAAAGGAGATATTGGCAGCATATGAAGGAGTTCGATCTGCTTCGGAGGTGGTCGGTACTGAAGCACAGCTCCTTCTAGCACCCCGATTGCCGGTACTAGGCTGGATGTTCAAAGGAAGGGTCTCTTCTACACATTATGCAACTGATGCTACATGGAGCAAGTGGGTTGCACTGATTACTCAGCGGGCTCGAATAGGAAACGCCAGTCGCCCAGGAATATTGGAAGTGATTATGGACTGGCCAGAAGGCAAATACTTTGGGATATCATCAGAGGAGGAGGTGGGTCGTGCTGAAGAAGCCCCACTGTACAACCAGCTACCAGAGAATGAGAAGAAATATGCAACCCATCTGGGCTGCTGCATTGTGGCAAGATATTGCTGCTCGGGTAGAGAACCTGGCTGTCAAGGTACGCCACGTAGATGCTCATGTGCCCAAGAATCGGGCTACCGAAGAATATCAAAACAACCAGCAGGTGGATCAGGCTGCTAAGATTGAAGTAGCTCAGGTGGACCTGGATTGGCAGCATAAAGGTGAATTATTTATAGCCTGATGGGCCCATGACACCTCAGGCCATCAAGGTAGAGATGCAACATACAGATGGGCTCGTGATCGAGGGGTGGACCTGACCATGGACGCTATAGCACAGGTTATTCATGACTGTGAAACATGTGCTGCAATCAAGCAAGCCAAACGGTCAAAGCCTCTTTGGTATGGAGGACGATGGCTGAAATATAAATATGGAGAGGCCTGGCAGATTGATTACATCACACTACCTCAAACTCGCAATGGCAAGCGCCACGTACTTACAATGGTGGAAGCAACCACCGGATGGCTGGAAACATATCCTGTGCCTCATGCCACCGCCCGGAACACTATCCTGGGCCTTGAAAAGCAAGTCCTATGGCGACATGGCACCCCAGAAAGAATAGAGTCAGACAATGGGACTCATTTCCGAAACAACCTTATAGACACTTGGGCCAAAGAGCATGGTATTCAGTGGGTGTATCACATCCCCTATCATGCACCAGCCTCCAGGAAAGTTGAACGATACAATGGACTGTTAAAGACTACATTGAATGCAATGGGCACTGGGACATTCAAAAAGTGGGATACGCATTTGGCAAAGGCCACCTGGTTAGTCAATACTAGGGGATCTGCCAACCGAGCTGTACCTGCCCAATCAAACCTGTTACGTACTGTAGATGGGGATAAAGTCCCTGTAGTGCATGTAAGAAATATTCTGGGTAAAACAGTCTGGGCTACTCCTGCCTCAGGAAAAGGCAAACCCATTCGTGGAATTGCTTTTGCTCAGGGACCTGGATACACTTGGTGGGTGATGCAAAAGAACGGAGAGGTCCGGTGTGTACCTCAAGGAGATTTAATACTGGGTGAGAATAGCCCATGAACTGAATTGTACCATGTTAATTACTATATAATACTGTATGTTATCACTACCATGACTACTATAGGTGACTAATTAGAATGTATGGAAAAGAGTGTAACCTGAGCATGACATAAATGGTATGGAATAAGGGGTGGATAGATGTCCTGGTTTCAGTTAGAACAGAGTTAATTTTCTTCCTAGGAGCTGGTAGAATGCTATGTTTTGGCTTAGGATGAGAAGAGTGCTGATAACACCCCGATGTTTTAATTGTTGCAGAGCAGTGCTTATACCAAGCCAAGGACATCTCAGCCTTTTGCTCTGCCCTGCCAACGGGCAGGCTGGGGGTGCAGTAAGAGCTGGGAGGGGACAGACCCAGGACAGGTGACCCAAACTAGCCAAAGGGGTATTCCATACCATCTGACATCATGCTTAACAATATATAGGGGTGGCTAGCCGGGGGAGGGGGGCCAGACTGCTTGGGGTTAGGCTGGGCATTGGTCAGCGGGTGGTGAGCAATTGCATTGTGCATCACTTCTTTGTACACATTATTATTAGTAGTACTATTATCATCATTGTATTGTTATTGTTATTGTTATTGTTATTGTTATTGTTATTGTTATTGTTATTGTTATTGTTATTGTTATTGTTATTGTTATTTTCCTGTCTTATTAAACTGTCTTTATCTCAACTCACAGGCTTCACTTTCCATTTCTCTCCCCTGTCCCAGAGAGGGAGGGGGGAGGGTGAGTGAACGGCTGTGTGGTGTTTAGCTGCCGGCCGGGTTAAACCACGACATTCCCCAAATGAACAACTAGACTTAATCTTAAAGAATATTTAAAGCCTTCGGGTGTATTGCACTTGGACCTGAGGGCAATGAGATACCTGGAGGATGCAATCAACAATTTGTTGGGTTTAGCCTGCAAACCCACATTTAGATTTTATATGATGCTGCATGAATTTTGTGTGTCTGTAAATCTACAGATACCCATATAACATGTAATATGCATATAATCTCTGTGATTATATATAATATGTATACGCTATTATAAAAACATGAAAATACGTAATAAAAACAGAGCACCTAGATTATAAAAAGCACAACTGTATTGAGAAAGGACTCAAGACACTTCTGTAAGGAAGTTCCTGCAAAGTAAGCTAACCCATACATTCTGCACTGTGTGCTTCTCTTGAGATACACTATATCAGAAGTCAGGAGAACTTGCTTATTTTCTCCTGGGCCAAGAAAAGGCCGTTTATCTTGTATACTTGTTCCCAAGAAACTCTGCTGGGAAGGATCACAGAACATACTGCTGAAAATGAGGTACGTAACTTCCAGGGTTGGTGGTATCATTTGTTTCATTTGGTAAGAGCTAGGAGTGGACTATCCAGGAGACAGCGCCTTCCAGAGCAGACATCTGTGCAAGAGAGTGGCCAGCTCCTTTCATGACTGACTTTCACTTGGATGTGTTGGGTCTACAAGGCATACCTGAAATGAAGAAAACACCATTTAACCAAATTACCCGTGCATATATGGTACATACATCTCCATACACACATGCTGCAAAGAGCCTCTTATGTGCTATTGTTAAACCGTTTATACCTACATGTTTATACCTCTATCTCATTGCCTCCAAACCTGAGAGGTAGAGGTATCAGTTAGACTTCGCTTTGGAAACTTTAGCAGAGCGAAAGGAATAAGGTTAAAGAAACGGAAAGAAAAAACAACAACAACAACAACAACAAAACATGACTCTCCACGCTCAGTTGTGAATCTGCCCTGTACTGAGCCTCTTTGCTGACCCTGAAGTACGGGCTGTTCCCGAGAAGGAGAAATGTCACGAAATGACCTGACCGGGTGTTTGAAGCGGCACCAGTCCGGGACTGTCATCCCAGGTAGCAGCTTGTTACCGTTTCCTCTACTCACACGGCCCCTACGCACAAGGTAGTCCAGACCAACTTTAAGACGCTTTTTGGACAGCTGGCTGAGGGAGCCCCCCGAGAACAAATGGATCAAACCTCTTCCAAACCCGCAGGAGCTCAAGAATTCCACAAATTCAGGCATATATCCACCGTACCGTACGCAGGCACGCAGAGAACCGTGCTCACTTTCCTTTGCTGTTCCGCCGGCCTGGCCTGTCCCACCGTTGCCCCTGGAGGGTTCTGGGCACCATGCCGAGCCGCGGGGACTCTGCACGGCGCCTGGAAGGCAGGAAGGGTAAGCTCCCCTGCCAGGGCCGGGGCCCGTGCAAATACCCGCACAGTAGCCGTGAGGAGCCATAGGCAAGCCACAACACTGTACCTTGCCCCGGTCGCTCAAGCGCGCGCCTCCCAGTTTACAGGGTATGACGGGCTGTAGACCGTGGAGTCTGCGGATGTATGCACACTGGAACCAACCAAGTTACATAAACCCAAGAACGGTCGCAGTCATGCTAATTTGAGCTAGAGGCGGTGAGCGTGCAGATGGAACGGTAGGGGGCTGCCAGGGAGTGGGGGGGAAGAGGGGTATCGCGGTGCTGCTGTCCCCTGGCGGAGCTTTGCCATGCCGTGCCCGGCTGTGCCGTGCCATGACATGCCATGCAGGACCTGCCCCGCACCCGCAGAGCCCCGCTGTACTGGCTGCAGTCTGTCGACGCGCTGTGCAAGGGGATAAGCAACCTGCAGAGCCCCGCAATGGACAACTCGAGCTGCGCAACCCCCACGGACTAGCATGCGGGGCCCTCAGCCCACAACACCAGTCAAAGTAATTTCTGCTCTAAGCTGCTGGCCTGAACCCCGCGGTGTGGGGATGGTGCTAAGGGCAGGGGTGGCCTTCAGCCCCCGCCTTCAGACTGGCCCGGGTCAGTCCAGGACGTTCATGTGTCCATGAGGGGGTACGGCTACTCCCGAGTCCTTTGCAGAGGGGAGCTGAGGCCCCCACTTCCTCCCCGTGGGGCCGGGAGACGTCCAGTGGCTGCCAGGGTGTCCTGGGACCTATACAGGACTAGAGAAATGTCTACAAAAAGGAAATCATAAGAGGCTTGTATTAATGGTTCTTTGGACATGTAAGCAAAACGGCATCTTTCTCCTTTTGCCTTTATTCAAGTTGTTTTACAAAGGTAAGTATCAAGCAGCTGTGGGACACAGTCAAAATTCATAGTTCGTTTAAAGCTAAGCCTACTTACCATCTCTTTCTAAATATTTAACATTGCCCAGATTTGTCTCTGGATTTTTTACAAGTTTTTTCCCCACTGCTTTTGGTGTCGTAGTGAAGGGATGCAAGACACAGACTTCTGATGGCTCTTGAACAGAAGGCCTTTATTGCCATTTTTCACCACTACATGTATTTTCCCCGTAGCCCCATGCGCTGACAATGCACCTAAATCTGTCATACAATTGGTTAGAGACCTTCAGACATGTGCCTCAAGCCAGCCAGCACTTGGCCACTGCCCAAAGCTCATCTTTAACACTGTAGCCATGTTAATTTATCTCGACCTTGCTCAAGTTTTTGTTTCTACCACTTATTTCCTCATTATTTCTAATTCAGGGACATGTGAAACAGCGCAAAGCCACCTGCGAATTCCTTTCCCACAATTCCCCCTTTTTTATTTTCAACCAATCAAACGCTTTTTCTTTTTTTTCGCTTGATAGATTTTTCTATCGAGCACCGCAGACATTGCAATAAGCAAGGTACAATAAGCAGCAGGGTGAAAATCACAAGTAGAATTACTTGCACCTTAGGCACCGGGGAAGTCAGGGTCATATTAGTTAGCTGGTCAGTGCTTGCGTTACCCTTTGTAAAAGTAGCGTGTCTACTAGAATCTACATCAGTCAACAAGCCACTAAACGCTAGGGATGTTGCTTCTCAGTGATGCTGCTTCTCACTCGCACAGCACAATCACACAATCACGCAAAGTGGCCTCTTGCACTTCTCATTCATACCACAGGAAAATATCACTTTAATTATGTTATAAATGGCTCAGGATTCAAATTAGGATTAAATAAAAATAGGATTTATTAAAAGAATATAAAGGAATAGAGGTAAGCAAACAGCGCTGGGTGCACCGGGAGTCTCCGCTCCACCAGGACGCACACCAGTTACATCAAGCAGTTGATTTTTATGCACCTAGACTAATACATATTCATTACTACTTCTAAAAAAAAATAGATTATTATAATTAGCTTCCGGGGTCCAGTTCCTCCTACTGGAGCATGCGCATCAGTCTCCTCTGGGGGTCTCTAGGGGTCTTTCATGCTGAAGGCTCGTAGTCTTCCTCTCACCCTTTGTATTTACTCGGCACTATTCCAAGTTTATGGAACACTCTCTGTACACTCTCCACAGGTCTTGTCTCCCAACCGTCCTTCAGCTTCTTTTTTCTTCCTCTTAATCTCTTGGCCCCCCTGGCCAGATACCAAGGATCTCATAACAGTCACCAGCAGTCACCAGTTATTATCAGTTGTTCTGAAACTCCCAAACAGGTTGACGACTCACGAGCAATTAAAACATTCTTTCCCAGCTATTTACAGTCATCTACATAACATCTATAGCAGTGTTAAATCAATCTCGAAGAAGACAGAAAAAAAACCTGTAACTGTTAGAACTAGAAGTCAGGAATAACAAAAGCAAACAGGTTCATAAATTTAAGGAGTGTTTTCTGAAGACATGATAAATTGACTGGAATGAGGGGGAGACTGGGGCACACTGCATCTGTGGTTCAAGAACTAAATTGCCAGTGCAGGGCCCAGAGGCAGACAGGATTCAAACAGAATTGTTCTTTATGGACACGAATTTATGGACACGAATTGGAATTGTTAAAACATTCCTCACAATCCCTTATCTTCTTTTTAATATCCCCAATTCGTGTCTCTTCTGTTATTAATAATTGGATTTCATCAGTTTGTTCTTGGAGGGTCCAATTCTTAAGCATCATAATTGACATATTCCCTTCTTTTTTTAATGAAGTTATTACCAATGTACTATTTATCACCCGGCGTATTAATAATGTAAGACAAAGTATCATACAAGGTATAAACAATAACATCTTTACACCACATCACAATAAAAAATAACACTCTTTTAACCCATGGTCCACCAGGCAGCCATGAAAATAAATCCCATTCCATATCCTTCCAGGTTTGTGTTTGCTTGCTCACCTCCCCCCCTCTCCTTCTCTGGGATGGGAGAGAGAAATGGGAAAGTGAAGCCTGTGAGTTGAGATAAAAACAAGAAAATAATAATAATAATAGCAATAATAATGATGATGATATTACTACTAGTAATAATGTGTACGAAACAAGTGATGCACAATGCAATTGCTCACCACCTGCTGTCCGATGCCCAACCTAACCCCGAGCAGTCCGGCCCTCCTCCGAGCCTGCCTGCTGGCAGGACAGTGAGAAGCTGAATTTGGCTTGGTCCTTAGCTTGGTGTAAGCACTGCTCTGTAACAATTAAAAACAATTAAAACATCAGCATATTATTAACATTCTTCTCATCCTAAACCAGAACATAACATTCTATCAGCTACTAGGAAGAAACACCCTTTTTATCAATCTTTAAACAGCAATTACTAAAGCTAAATTTTCCACAGACTTCTCCTTCTTGTGCTAGTAAATAATCCAAAGCTAGGCAATTTTGATACAAAGCAGTTCTCATCATTTATAACTATTTCTATTACAGCTAATAACCTAATTATTCTATTAAGTATGTATACTGGGGTCCTATAGTCCCAGGATCTGTCTTCTGCCCACGTATCTGGATCATAATAGGCAAACGCCTTGAGGGTCGATTCAGGCTTGTGTTACCGTTCGGCCTGTCAGGGTGATCCAGCTCCTGGAAAACGAATCACAATTTTATATAGGTTAAAAAAAAGGGTCTTATGTTATTTTCTCGGGACAACCTGGACAACCTGATCTTAGTGTGGGAGAAGTCTGGTCGAGGCCCTCTCACTCGGCAGTCAATACCCATAGGGGTTGCCTCCCTCGGTAGACCATACACACCGCAGTGGAGGGTCCTGCCCCGGTCTTGCCTTCTCCCTTTCCTCCCTTCAGGCTTGTCTCCTTTATTTGGCATCCTTAATTCATGCAGAGCCTCGTTGCCAGAATATTAGTTCTTCCTTAGCTCGAGTTTCAGTTTCCCAGGAGCGGTCTCAACCCTCCAAGTTTCGGTAGTTACTGGTCCTTTTATTCTGGATGCATGGGTCCCTTTCTGCGGTTCTCACAGCTGTTTCAGTAGTCAGTAAAACAAGGTACAGTCCCTCACATCGAGGGTTCAGTGATTCTTCCCTCCCGTGGCTGCTTGTTGAAACACTTTCTTTTTTATCTTCTGACAAGTTAAATAACAGTTATCTAATTTGCTTTGCCGTATGGCCCTTTCCAGGTTCCTGTAGCAGGATTCATCTGATAGCCTTTCAGGTTGATACAGATTTGACTACAGATACCAGGGTTTTGGCATTCATCACTAACTCCACAGTTTCCCAGCTGGACAGTCACATTCATTTATGTTGCATTCCTTCAGGGGCTCATCACCCCAGTCCTTGCAGTCTCTCTGCTGGTTACACACTTTATTGATATCTATGCATTCTCCACTTTTGCTCTTGAATTTGCCAGGTCCAGAGCACTGAATAACATCGTTACAGTTTGCTTCATCAGTGCCATCCAGACAGTCTCTCACACCACGGCACTGTCTACCCCCATGGACACAGTTCCCATCTTCACATTTGAACTGGTCCAGGAAGGGCAGTTAATTTCATCACTTCCACCCTTGCAATAAGGATCTCTGTCACATCGCCACTTCTTGTAGATACATTCACCTGAGCCGCACTGCACCTCACTCACAGAACACTTCACCAGAGGTGCAGGCTGGCAGCCACACTGCTCCAAAGATTCATCCGAGTGGTCAGAGCAGTCACCTTGACCATTGCAGACAAAGCTTTTGGAAATATTGTCCACTACTGCATGTGGACTCTGCTGCACTACAAGTCACATTGCCACAATTCTCTTCATCTTCTCCACTGTCACAGTCTCTTTCACCATCACATTTCCACGACACTGGGATACAC